TATTGGTCTGTCCAATGTATGTGGCCGGGCATGATGCACAGGGGACTCAGAAACCCCAAAGATAAAATTGACCTGGAAAACCAAGGCATATACGAAGTCCCCTGTGGATAACATCACAATGGAGGTGGTTGTTGAATTAAGAGGCAACCCCTCACCTCACCCCCATGTATCCTGTTCCTTTCCTCCACATCTTTTAATTATATTTTATCTTGATTGGGATTTTTATTTTTATTCTTTTAAAGATATTTGTTAGGATTTTAATGTTTTAATGCTGGAAGCTATCCAAACTCATTTGCTACGAGATGGGCAGCAAATACATTCAATCATTGAATAAACAAACAATGAACAATCTAATTTTCTGTATGTGACAGAAGAATCTGCTTTTAAATAGCAGAACTGCAAGAGACATCTGGGCAACAGATCAAACCAATATATCCAAAGCAACTGCTACCATTCTAGGATATTCTGCAAATACACAGAAAAAGTACATTTATAGTATTGTATTAACAAAAGAAATGTATTTGAATATGTCATGTCCATCCATTAAATAATTTCATTCATAGTACAGAATATAGAAAGGGTCACGAGGTGTCTATTTTCTATGGTTATATGTTTAAAAGAATTAAGCCCCTTTGAGCTTTACCATGCTAATTACCCACAGTATTGTTCACCATGGCTTTGGAAAGTCCTATGCATTTTGATATGGGGTATAGATACTGAAAATTCTTTGAATTCCTATGTTGTTTTCACAATTAACTGGGTTTTTTTTTTTTAAAGATTTGCTGATGTTTCATAAATATCAAGCCATAATTTTTGTTGGCTGTATTAAATGATGCATGTGCTTGCTATCAACTTGGCTGGGAATGTAAGCAGGTGCAAACTATATTGGAAATTACTGCACAAATTCTCCAATGTTTTATATAAAACTGAGAGCAAACCAACACTGGCTTTAGAGGAGAAAAGAACACTTACAAGTCTCTACAAACTTCTCCAAATCTGTGTCTTCTAGTTGAACTGGACTCTAATTCACAGTGGCTGAGAATACTACAAGTTATAATCCTATGAAACCAGTCATCCAACACTGCATCACAGCAGTCTGAGTCACTCAATGTTGGAACAGCTTCTTTTTACAACTGAATGATTGTTTAGCCACTCCAATGCTGCATGATTCATCCATATATCTAAGACAACAACTTATGGCCCCACCTACAACAACTTATGGCCCCACAATTTACTGGTTGGTGAGAATTCATGAAAAACAAATTGAATAAATTTTGGAAAAGCAGATAACTTATTAGAAACTAGTGCTTTTAAAATTTTTGCAATGTATAATTTTGAAGAGAAGAAAAATTAATCTTCTTTAATGTGCATGGGAAAAGTGGCATTTGTCAGGAAAAGCAAACCAAGCCACTCCCCTAAAGTATCTTTTCAAGGACTTGATAAACCATAAAACCTGTTCCGCTCACCATAAATCAGTTGGAAGGCTAAAGAATACTGATAATACTAGAAGCAAGCAAAGGCAATATGTTTATGAGTTTAAGCTCATAAAAGTAACCAAGCTTATAAATATTGTCTTTGTTTTCTCAATGTATCATTGTTTTCGTAGTTCCAACTACCTTACTACATAGAATCCGCCCTCTCATGATCAATCAAATATATTCTAATTTACATAACACTATATACATGGGTTGCATTCCTGTCCTAGAGGTTTTACTTCTGCTGATCTTAAGAAACAATCCATGTTTCAATGGAATTGTTAGCTAAACTCCAATTCTGATTTTCTAGCAAAACCACAGCTCGGTGGCAAAGCAATCCACCAGAAAACACATCTTAGCATTTGAGTCTCTGAACGATTGCTGTATATTGGTTTTATATCTTTATCAACAGTTTCTTAGATACAAGCAAGAACATCTCTCAAAGACTGAACTACTATTGGCCATTAAAACCAAATATTACCTACATCCTTAAAGCTGAGTGTCTGTAGTAAAATTAAAAATGACAGGACACCAATTTTAAGAAATGTATTTATTATCATTTTTCATATTAGCATGCCTGTTCTACTTTCTTCAGAACTATTCTGTTATCTTAATTTGAAACAGGCAACCTGCTTTTGAGCATAAGAATAGCACAGTGAGGGACTATCGGTCGATATTTATCATACTTCCACATTGTGGGCCAAAGCAGCACAAATTATGCAATGCTTTAGAACAACTGTTGCTAAATGTTTTCACTGACAGCACTTGTATCCTGAAGATTGGTTTAGAACAGAACAACAAATGTTCATCTTTTAAGAAGTTAATCCTGGTTTTCTTCAGGGTTAAATCCTCTTATTTGAAACATTTTATATAAAGGATCTTGTCATTCAGATTTGTGCATGACAATATATTTCCCTCTTGATAGTGCTTTCCTGAACAAAAGGAACACTTAACAAATCATTACATAATCAGACAATTCATAAACTTCAATACCATAACATGAAATGTACTTGTTTCTCAAACTGAGAATACAAAAAAAAAACTGGCTCCATGGTCAAGATCAGAATTTGGAAATAGATTTACAGTACTGATAGACTGAATAATTATTTTCCATCCCCCACCCCCTGAAAAACAATACAATCTTCAAACTTTTGGCAATACTACAATAGCAGTAACAAGGAGATTGTTCTACATAGCTTCAGAGATAAGGTTATCTCCGAGGTTTCTTTTCCTTTATTTGTCAGCACTGATCTTCATGAGAGACCAGAACAAACCAAAAGGCCAGGTATAAGAGTCACTCAGGTGGATTAAGTCAGTGTCCAGCACTACTTTATTCTAGCTTATACAAGATCAAAGGATCTCTATCTTCTGTTTGGTTTCAGCATCACAAAATTAAAATTATTGTCCTTGTTTCTTTGAGAGGTACCTGAAAGAAATCAAGACATTGTGTATTTATAACATGAAATATAATTCCCCATTAACATGATACAGATGATCAGAAACACTGGGCATTTCAAAACGATACAACTGCTACTAAGCTGATTGATTTTCTGGAAACATACATATTGGATTACCGTATGTATTCATTTCAGACTGGATACCATATAGCCTTCAGAACCATAATGGGTGGGGAAACCACATCACTTGTGGGAAATGTTTCTTTGCAGTTTCAGTAAAAGGCTTGGTATGGCTTTTCACTTGAGTTAACTACACTTTAATCTCATATATTGCCAAGTCATGAACAGAATTTTGAGAGGTTCCATTTGCTCAACCAAAGCCAACACAGAGCAGATAACAGATTCCACCAAGGTCACTGAAGACATCCTGGTGATCGGCAGATTGGCAATGGCAGCTTCATTTCAATCCTCCAATATTGGCCCTATTTAGACACTCAAAAGTATACACTGTAGAGAGCTTGCAAAGTAGTGTGGGGTGAACGCATTTTTCCCAGCCTCTTGGCACCGAGGAGGAGGATCTGAAGAGGTACTGTAAGTATGGACTATTTCACTGAGGTACCAGATCCTAAGTAGGACTGAAACTAAGTTCAACTCAGCACACCCACAACTTCCCTTCAAACTGTTCCATTCAATTAGAGGGGAAAAAAGATGTGGATCTGATTGCAGAACATGTAACTGCTTTTTTTTCCATTTCCCTAAACGTTTGAATGTAAATTCTAAAAAACGAACACAAGTGCACTGTACTTCATGGCCAAGGATGCAACTCTTTTAACAATTTTAAAGCAACACACATCTCATGACCAATCCTAATTCACTTATATATCAAATTATATAATCTTTACCTTTCCCAGTGTTTGTGGTTCAACTCCAAAAAGTCATCTAATTTTGCTATTTCCTTGAGATACTGAGTAAGTTTTAAAAGCTCTTTATCTTTATCTCTGTTTAAATGTGCCTTCATGAAGGGTTTTATCTGTTGACCAAAAAATAAAATGGGGGTTAATTACATAAGGAGCATACTAACATGGTTGATGGTTTATTCACAGCCTAATCTCATAGATCAGCTTTAACTGATCAGTGGCACAGTTTAAATTCAGCCAATCTCCAACCTCCCACCTTTGAGGATTATGATCTCTTACTCTTTCACTACGGTCAAGAAATCCTGTGCAAAGGACCTTGGATATGCTTCTGTGTACTAATCATATCCATGCAACAACTCAAAGATCCAGGCAGATGCACAATTTTTTTAACTTAATACACAAACTTAAATTAGACATGAGGCAGCATATTGCAACTGAACTTGAGAGCAAGAATAATTTCCTTTCACATGGGACTTTGATTGAATCTTTCTAACAAAAACTGTATTTGCCTTTAAAAGGCCACTAGGTTTTGCATGTGAGTACAGAAGCCTGGCATTCTACATTTGAGAACTTACACCAGCTAGATACGTTGAACTCCTCCCATAATATTCAAACCAGCTAAACTAGTGTAAATAATTGCCTCTATATATTGGACAGAAAATACAATTGAATGTCAGAGAAAGGAACACAAGAACAGTACTGCATGTACTATTGTTCAAATGTAATCACTTGCTGCAAGCTCATTCCAGAAATAAACTTACTTTTTAATTATACCAGCTTTCCATTTTGCATCATTCTCACAGAGAACATGGACTTGTTACTAGAGAGTAAGACTGCCCTCCAGTGTGCAGTCATCAGATTGTAGCAGAGCTACAATACACTATTTTTCTTCCAATCAAATATATGCAAGCCCCCATGAGAGAATGAAGTCTTAGGTGATCTCTGAGCTTGGTTGTTTGTTGTAGATGCTTGGATGCATGATTAGGTAACTTCACCAGTGCTAGGAAGCGTGAGGTTTTCCCTTCTGAATGAAGCTCAGAGGGCACCAAAGACTCCACAGCTCAACTCTGAGCTATGTATATTCTCTTCTATTATAATGAGGGAAATAACTTCATGTCAACTTGTCTCAATTTAAATGTTATTATGATGGGAGTCCTATGAACTTTGGGAGGGAGTATGTTGTTTCAGAAGACAGGCATTGCAACAGGGAAGATGACACAAGATGATGCCATTTAACTGATGAGATCAAGAGCACACCTGTTCTATTTGACCATATTGGATGGACACCAACAATTGGAGATTGGAAATCCCTTAGCTAGCCTGGCCCTATGTTATGAGAGCCCTGAACTACCTTGAATTCATCTGGAAGCTGACTGGTAACTGGTAAAGCAATTGGGTCACATGAGCATAATGTGAGAATCCCAACACCTGTGCTGCCACATTCTGGACTAGCTGTAGCTTCTGGAAAATTCTCAGAGGCAGCTTGAGATAGTGCAAAATTGTGTATTCAAAGTGCTTGCTCTACCAAATTATATAAATGCAGGCTTGGCTTCTCCATGAACCTGTGACTTAGGAGGGAGAAAAAAGTACACCATGTATGTTTAATTGCAAAGAACAAAAATTAACTGGAATGGTAACTATTATTACCTTTGTTGCAATAGTTTCCACCAGGTTCCATGTCCTTCTAAGAGGATTATAAAACTTATCCCAGGCACTACGTGTTGTGCTTATTAAGCCTTGATGACAATAAATTAATGCTCTATGGAACAGCTAATTAAAATTTGCTGCATCTAGTAAACATCTTGTCTCGATTCCTCCTACAGTAACATTCCCATAAACAGTTACCCACAATTTGTCTTGCTATCAATAAAATCTGAACACTGCTTGTTTTTTTTTTTCCTCCAGAAGGAAACACTGATATTATTCTATCAGTGTTATGCTCTATCATGTTTACCTCCATGTGATCACTGATTTTAAAGCTATCTGCATTCATTGGCTACAATTTCCCAAAAGTAGAAAGATTAGGAAGGCAATACTAGCTTGCATCATGACAGCCAAGTAAAACATCTTCCTAAAATCCTGTCAAATTTGAGGATGGGAAGAAACAGATCTGTAATTTTACCAGTCATTTCAGAACAGGTATGTCACACACCTTTATTCTGTTCAAAACAAATTTATCCCCAATTAAATAACCCTTCTGATAGAAAAATTTTAACACCATCAGGTAGAAACTTCTATAAATTATTAGCAAAAGTACCAATATACTGCTGTTGAATTATTCAATATCAAACAATTGCCATTACATATATATTTTACATAAATCAGAGAATAGATGCTGTACAGCAGCTAAAACTGCAGTCCTATAAACTATATTATTTATTTACATGTTTCAAATCCTTATTTCCTATCAACTAACAAAAAGTGTTATGTAAGCCTTTTAGCTTCTCATTTTTTTAATCCACAGCCACCAAAAAGTAGCGGCAAAACATGGAAAAAATTGTGTGATTTTTCTTATTTGTACTAAATAGGTTTAGCATACCTAACATAAGTGTTTTGTTAAAATCCCCCAAGCCTTCCTCCAAACTAGCTACTGCCCTCCAGGGGTACCTGCCATATTTTCCATAGCTGGAAAAAAAGGAGCACTTTAAAACATTGCATCAGTGCTAACACCAAAATGGTTTTTACCACATTCTGTACCCAAAAGTACAACGTGGCCTTACTCAGAAGTAGTTGCACCAGTTCTAAAAGAGCTGGTGAAATTATTATAAGTAGAAAGGAAGTGTGATGTCAGAGGGTCAGGTGCTAGAATAGGATGATGGAGATCCTAGTTCATTCAAGCCTTTCTTTCCAATATTAGATTGGATATACTTAGCCACTAAGGCTTGGAACAGAACCCACGTCCCCATGCTGTTGTTTTAACATAATAGAGGGATTTATGTACATAGTGGCATGAAAAAAAGGAAGGAGCCTTACTAGTAGCAACAATGCTGACAGGATCAAAGGCTGGTTCCAATGAAAGCATCAAAATTGTTCAAATGTAAATCTACCCGAGTTTAGCCCCTTTTTTAGCCAGCTGATATTTTTTTCTAAATAAAAAAATTACCTTTAGTCCATTCTGTGGGTTCATCAGAAAATTTCGACCAATGTCATCAAACATAATAGTATTTTTCTTGCTGTAAAACTCTGAAAATTTGCCCCATATAACTCCTAGAGGTTTCACCTGTAGAAGCAAAGTTGGAAGAAAATCAAATAAAATTGCTGATTTAAACAATTTTAGGAATCTTAAGCCTGTAATCATCTACTCATGATCTCGGAATACATATCACTGAATTTAACAGAATTTATCCCAAACTAATCTTTAAAACAAAATATGTGATAAGATCTCCAACTCAGTAATTCATCACAGCATTACAGAAATTCGAGAATTAACTGCAGCTTGTCTCACTTTTTTAAGTTGTTCAAGCATCTCCCTCCCTTTCTATAAGATACACACTGCAATTCAGATGCCTCGAGCACACAAGACAAATTGCAATGTTCTTAAAGTGTACATTTGTATTGAATACTTCAATCATCTAAAACTATTACTCCTTAGATTATTTTACTGTGGAGTTCCCACTCTGGAGATACTAGTAGCTGAACTATACTGTCTAATCCCTTAAGATTGCATACAATAATCTTTCAGACATACTGCTGATGGAAAAGGCTTGATTGGAAGTCATTGGGTGCTTAATCTGCATTTTATAAAATAAATAGACTACATATATAGACTTCTAAAAATTGAGAAAATATCCCCTCTATAGAAAAGTAATTGCTCATACATCAATTAAGCCCCGCCTTGGAGTGTGCACAGTTATCATGGCAGCACTATCCAACATGAAGGTTATCTTGTAGTTTGCATTGGTGCTCACTCCCAGCTCCTGCAATGCAAAAAGAACAATGATTGAAATTTTGTGCACTAGCTACCTCTCTGCTGTACTTTACAAACCAGAAATAAATAAAAAATCTCTTATTTGCCTAACAAATAAGACATTTTTTTAAAAAAAAACACTAGCTAAAACATGTTAAAATAAATGCCTACTCCCTCTCTCAAAGGGGACTGTGAAGGTTAGGGTTGGAAGGTGTGCCTTGTTTGTTTGTTTGTTTGTTTACTTATAAAATTTATAGGCTGCCTAATTTGTACCTACAAATTGTGGCATTGCAGTCAATGAAAGGAACAGAATTGGCTGCTTTACTAAGTTATCCTAGTCAATAGAAGACGCTCATTTTATTTTTATTTCTCAGGTTATTTACAGGCACATTTTGAAAGGATAAGAAATGTAAAAATATTACTTTACAAAAGTAATCTGATGTTCAAAGAAGCAGGTACTTTAACAGGCCAGCTACCTAATTTCTTTTTTTAAAAAAAAAAATCAACACGTTTGAGCAGCTTGGCATATTTTTTGTGTAACAAACAAGAAAGAGACAATGCAACTCTCTCCATACAAGCAGAGCAGCTTCATTTTTGCACCTAGTTGGAATGACTACTATTGTCAAGACAGAGACTATGTTTTGATGGGAAATGCTTGAAAATGTGCTTGGCTTCAGGAATGGGATGTCAAAATACCTAACAGTCCTTTGGGCTTTGTTATATACTGTATATTGTATATAAAAGTGCTACCCATATTTACACAGAAGAGCTCAGTGCATTCAAAAGCTAAGAATGGTCAACAATGTCATGTAAAAGAACAAATCTTATGAACAAGTTTGTTAACCAAGTATTACAAAAAGTTATGATTAAGTTATGATAAGCAAGATAAACTGCTTAATGGTAGCTTTTGAGTGTTCTGCAACTACTATTATCACCTAAATTAATTATCATATTTAAGAATTGCCCATCTCTTTCACACAGAGATTCTATTGTGGACTGATCTAATTTAAGTAAAATACCTTACTATATTCACAAACTAAAATTGTTAATATTAAAAATAGGACACTTTTCTCATCATGGCTATATGCAGGTATTCCAGCACAATTTGTGAAAGTGACTAAGATATTTCAAATAATACAACATTATCCTATTTTTATTGGTAGTGTGTAAAGCTGGCTATACATCCTATCTCCAGAACTTCCAATCCATCAACCCAGAGCATAGATTGTGGTCTGCAAACACAGCTGTATTATTCTTGTAATTTCAAATAGGCTGTATTATTATTGTTGTAATTTTAAACAGGCTATTTATGCTTTTTACATATGAGGTTGTGCTTTATACATAGAGTCTGTGAGGAACTGGGTAAATGACAAGCTGGAGTGATTTAACATGGATTTCTCTGAATTAGGACCTCTGGAAAATTATGTGGTGGATTACATGAAGTCCTGCCAAATACATTATCTAATATGGTGAGTGAGAAGGCAGCTGCACTGAAAAAAAAAGGGCACAGCAAAAAAAAAAGGACAAGTTCTTATTTTCCCCATTCTTAAGATGTATATATGGGAATGTTCCTCTGGGAATTATGTTTATAGG